TGTTACACTGGCCATAGGAAATGAATGCACCCTGCAGGGCTGTACTTTCTCCTTTTAACAGTACACCTACAGCCCTACCTCTTCAGGGACACGTGGCCCAGACCGGAGGGCTGGGAGCTGACTGCAGACCAGGGCTAAAGCTGGGGCCACTAAAGCATGGGAGCCGCATGGCCGGGAACTGACAGGGCCTCCCTGTGGATGAAGCTGCACAGGGTACAGTGAAGCCAACACTGGGCAGGGATCTCAAGCTCTGCTTCAGGCTGGGTGTGTCCTCCAAAGATTCCATGCTGGAGCTTGGTCCGCAGGGTGGCGATGTGAGCTGGTGAGTCCCTAACAGATAGGCCTGGTGACAGGTGACTGGGTCACCGAAGCACCACCCGTGGAAGGGACCATCACAGCTCTTGTGGAACTCTTGTGGTTGTTTCCCAAGCAAGGCAGTTGGAACAGAAAGATCAGGCCCAACCTCTGTACATCTTCTGCTATGATTTCTGCAGAGAAGTGATGGATGAGCAGGCTGCTTGCCCTGGGGCTTTCAGTCTCCAAAAACATGATCTGCATAAACTTATTTTCTTTATACATTTCCAGGCCTCAGTTATTTTCTGACAATAATAGAAAACAGACTAATACAAGGGCCTGGGAAACTGTAGAGGCTTAGACTTGTTTGTGCTACACAAGACCAATAAGGTCCTGAAAAGAAATTGGTGTTGATGCAGTTGTACTTATTCTTATAAATTTTAAGTTTGAAGACCTACTACAGTGCCTGATGCTTGGCAGGAGCTTTTCTGACCTCCAGAGTGGTTGTATCACTAGGGTATGTTCCCACGAGGCTCCCAAATGTCCTTCATTGTGGCAACCATTATAGCTGCAAACTGAATGATGCCTTTGCCCTGGACAGGGGAGCATGCGACAGACCCCAAATCTCTTGGCTTCGGGTTTGGCTCTGCAGGGTGCAAGGGGCAGTGGAGATCGGGCATCGGATGGGTGACAGGGACTCAGACAATCAGTCCTTCCCACAGTGATGTCCCTTGGACACTCACAGTCCCCAGCCACACCACCTGAGAGCCGCTGCTGAGTGCTTCCTCCGGCCCAAGGTGAGCACCTGGGTTGTGGCTGGGGCCTCCTGGAGGTAGCCAGCGCTGGAGGTGTAGGAGCGGCCTTCAGCCATGACCGATGAAAGCTGGGGGTCGTGGACTCCAGGGGGGACAAGTCAGGTGTCTCACAGTGTCCAGGGAACCTCAGCAGCATGGAGGGTAACTGATGGGGTCTGTGAAGAGGTAAATGAGGTTCGATGAGTCGGAAAAGGTGAGAGTCTAATCCAGTAGTGTTGGTGTCCTTTTCTAAGAAGAGGAAAAACACCAGGTGTGTGCCTGCACAGAAGCAAGGCCATCTGAGGACACAGTGACAAGGCGCGGTCTGCAAACCAAGGAGAGAGGACTCAGGAGAGGCCAGCTCTGCCTGCACCTTGTGCTTGGATTTTCCACCCAGGACTGTGAAAATCTGCTGGTTAAGCCACTCAGGCCCTTTTTCTTTTTTCTTTTTTTAACAGCAGCCCTAGCAAATGAGTATGATCGTGGTAGTCTCTTCTGGTTCTCTTGTCTTTCCTGTGTCTCCCACCCCACATCGGTGCTTCCTGGAGTCACCTCCCAGACAAATTCCTCACCCTGAGACCCTTATCTCACCATGCGAACAGCTCCATCTGTCCCCTATCCATAGGGCTGCCGGACGCCACACATTTAGGCAGCTGTGGGGGCAGGATAAAGATAAGACTTAGAGGTCCTCTAAATCCAGTTGTCTGTGGCGATGAGCCCGAGCCGATTATGTTTCTTCTAAATAGAGGCAGAGATGAACCACTGCTGTGCACGCCGAGGGCCACCCCAGCATTGTCCAGGTGGCCGGGAGGCCTTCCGGGGAAGGTTGACTTGAGCGTGAATGCGAAGAGGTCTGCAGAGATTCCTGGTGCAGCTTTGGGAGTCAGACAGCGCCGGGTTCCCGCAGCGGCTTTGTCACTGTCTAGCTGGCTGACCTTGGGAAGCTGCCTCCCCTCTCTGAGACTCACTGTGGCCCTGCGTCAGCGATGAAGGGTGCTGAGCACGGTGTCAGTGAGTCGAATCCATAGCCTCTGAGGGCGATTTAGGAGGCAGGGGAATTTTATAGCTGCAGGGAATCGTTCAAAGGCACATTACCCTGGACATCTCTACAGGAATGAAGAGAGGGAAGACCCAGGTTCCCCTTTCCTGGACATATTGCCAGGATCAGAATCTCCCTTGGAAGTCTTGGGAGCCTGGGAAGTATGTTGAGTACAAAGACCACCTAATCTGCAGGCCCTTGAAGCGATGGTGCCTCACGGGAACAGGGGAGGGGACAGGTCCGGATTCAAGGCACAGCTTGGTTTTGAAGTGCACCTTGAAGAGGCCCGGTGGTGTCTCTTCGCTGCCACGGCAACCGACACTCCATAATAAGTGGCTCAGGCCATTTTCAAGAAAGGTAAAATGGGAACATTAACAGATCTCTTCGAGGGCTGCTTCTCGATCTGCTCACAGGCCCCTGGGGCTCAAGTTAGCACCTCCCTTAAAATCTTCTGCAAGCCTGGAGCTCTTGGTCAGTAGTGGAAGAACGGCACGAGTGGTGTTGGGCCGTGCTGTTCTTCGTCCTGGGTCTCCGGCTACCTCAGGAGATCTGACTCCCAGAGGAGGTCTTGACCCTGCCCCAAGCGTGAAGGCAGTAAGCCCTCCCAGGAGAACGGAGGGCTCTCAAAGGGAAGGCGAAAGACCAGCTAGGGCCCCACCCCAGGAGGAATACTTTGATTTGCCCCACGGTGAAGGAACATTAGAGAACCAGGGACACAGAGCAGCCAGGGCAGCCCAAGCTGGAGTTGGGGTCTGTTGGACGTGGCTGGTCTGTCCTCACCGTGCCTTGTTCAATGTATGGCTTACTCCAAGTCCCTCGAGTCAGACATGGTCTGTTCACAGGGGCCCACAGTCATCCCTGCTGGCCACCTCTGCCTGCCTCAGAAGATGTCTCTGGAAGCGAGGGTGCTTGGAAACACAGTCGTGGACTCGTTATTGCTCATGTTCAAGAAGCCCGAGTGAGGAGGAGGAGGAGTGTTGTAAATTTAGTGGTGGACAAGTGCCTTGATTTTGTTTTTCCCAAATGGATATTGGAAACGATGGATCGTTACACAAGAGGATTTGGGCAGATGATGAAGTAGTTGTTTTAGAACTACTTAGAAGAAAAAGTAGCGATTTCCACATCCTCTGTGTTTTCTGAGGATGTGTCCTGCCAAGTTCCACCCCCTTCTGTGACGAGGGAACGCCACACGCCTGAGGAAGACCACAACTAGACTGAGTCCTCTGGGTCAGGTGTGGCCTCGCCCTGCTGTTTCTTCTCTGACTGGTCCCACAGGATCTCCGCCTCCGGGAAGGATTGTTTGCTCTGCCAGAGCGGCGGCATCTCTGCAGGATCTCTGGGTCCCTCAGGCTTCCTGTGCTGGCCTTGGGCGGGACACACTGTAAATGTGCTACAGATTTGTGGACTTGGGTTTGGATGATCAGAAACGCAGGCTGGGGCACGAGGCCATGGTAGAGACCGGCGATGGTGAACCTTTTAGTTTTCAGTGGTGGCAGATGGCCAGCTGTAGCACATGTGCCATAGGTGTGTCGCCACTGGGCTGGACCACTGCTAGTAAAGGCGGCCCTTGAAGGGAAGGGTTCAAATCTTAACTGAGGCCCTTATAGGGGGTGTGAACACCTGCCATCACCTTCACCACCTCTTCATCTGAGCAACAAAAATGACAAAGGACAGACACAAAATAAAAATGAAAGGTGCCCTATCTATTAATAAAAATATGCTTTGAGCCTTTACTAAGGACCAGGTTTTGTGCAGAGTGCCTTCCCTCCCTCAGGGAACCCACACAATCCTGGGGCATGGATTCCATTATCATCTACCTGATGGGACAGCAAACAGAGGCTAATGAAGGGCGTGTAGGCCCCTAAGGTCACATCTGGTCACCAGAATGCACAGAGCTAAACTTGAACCCGGGACAGTCAGATTCCAGAGGCCAAGGGCACGTGCTGGCGCGGTGGTTCTACAGTTCGCACGAGCATCAGAATCCCCTGGTGGGTTTGTTAAAACTGACCTCTGGGTCCCCTCCCAGAATTTGGTTCAGTGCCCCGAGAATTTGAATTTCTAATATTTTTAAGCGATGTGGATGGTCTGTTTAGTGATTGGCAAGATATCCACTTAAGGCCTCTTTCTCACCCCTCTGTCCTAGAAAGTAGAAGACGGCTAAGGAGAAGGCTGCTGAAATAAGCGAGCTGACTTACACGTGTTAGGACTAAGGGCGTGTGTAGAGGTGCTCACGGGGACTTGAAGTCACAGATCTGGGTTCACATCTCGGCCACCTGACCGTGTGCCCATCTGGCAGGCATTCCTGAGAAGGTGCACCCGAGGCCCGTGGTTAAGAACCTGGTGTTCCAGGACGAGTCTCTTCTCCTACTCTGGGGTTCAGGCTTCCTCCCGAGGTCCGCGGCCTCGCGCTTCCCACCTGCGCGCGCCCCTCCAGACCGAGCTCTCCTCGGCCTGTCCAGCCGGCAAGCGTTGCCATGGCAGCGCGGGCGGGGATGCTGGAGGCAGAGTGCA